CACCCTGTATATTAACCTCAAATATCTGAGTCCACTTGGCACTTGTCTAGTGATTGTAATACTGCTTGCAAGCTTATCGAGTCAAACGCTGTGGCATTCTACGAATATTAGGACTAGTGGTCTGTTATATTCAACTGATCTCTATTGGGATCTTGAGGCATTGTAGATGGTCATTCGTCCCAAATCCTTGGCGGAAGCCGGCTTGTTCAAAAGGTTGGTAGAAATCGAGTTCGTTTTTCAATCTCACAGTTATTATCCTTGTAAATAGTTTGAGAAGGTAGCTCAACAGGCTTATGGGTCTATAGTTTTCTAAATCTACTATGTCTCCTTTCTCATGTAACAGAATGGTGATAGCGTTGTTCCATTTGCTGGGAGTTTCTGCGTCGTACAGGCAAATATTGAAAAACTCCATAATTCTATTGAGCAGGCCGTCTCCTCCCGTTTAATCGCTTCGATCACTATATTGTCTTCTCCCGAAGCTTTATTGTTCTTTGCTCTCTGGAGCGCTGCTTTGATTTCTTCTTTATTAATCTCGGGTAGGAGTTCTGATCCCTGGTTGAGAATTCCTTTTCTTTGCAGTTGTACATTCTATCGTCTGTTCTTCTCTTGTCTCTGCCCCTGGTCTACGCTTGTACAGCTCTCGGTAGAATTCTTCGACTATATAGGGTGATTCCAAATTGGCGTCATTCCTTTTAAGGGGTAATAGTGGCTCACTTATAGAGTACGAGAAAAATATTGAATTCTTTTTTCGATAATTTCTAGAAGATATTAAAAAAAATGAATATCGAATTTCAACTTTGTTATTAAGCATTATTTAGAAATTGTTCCATGTTTAATTGGCAGCATATTGGAACACTTAAGCATTCAAAAAGACAAATTACGATCTTTGCTTCAAATTACGAAAATTTTTGATATCAAAAAAGTTCTCTTCTACAATTTTTTGATGAAAAGTCACAGCGGAAATGATGTTTTTTTGTCATTAACAGATAGTTACAGGTGGATAACCCTTGTCAATCAAAACAATAATTTGTCAAACTGTGACTTACTTTAAATTTCCTTTCACGAATTTGCGGATATGCGATTAGTTCGGGGGAAATGCTACAGCAACATAGCAGAAGCTGAAAGAACTCACGCCGACAAAGGGCTAGAGACACTGGAGATTAGAGGTGTGATAAACGGTTATTTTTCTGGAACAGGTTTTAAAGTTGCAGTTTCACTTTGGTAATAGGTTCCAAAGTACGGTTCCAGAAGTAACATGTTCTTCAAGTTTTTCATTAAAAATTCGCAATGATGATGATGGTAGAAATAGTAATGATAAATAATGATTTAGTTTATTACAAAAAATAATTCTTAGCTAATTTTCATTTAAAAATTAATTAACATTTAAGAATATTTTTTGCGTAGGTATGCTTTTTACTAAGTGTACGTCTTCGCTCCTTTATGATAGCACCCGCTTTGGAAAATAAGCTCCTGCATGGAACAGAAGTACTGATATACCTCTGTTTTTTTTGTAATGAAACAAGTTTGTCAAAATATTGAATAATCTTCTTTTAACTGAACTTCCTCTGATTTAAGACGGCACCGCAGTTTTCGTAATAGCGCAACTAAACATATTTTCCATTGACCAATCGTCACCGAAACTGCTGAAAGTGGATAGATGGATCGACGTGGTCGCATCGGTTCTGTGCTGGGGCGAACCACTTTTTCGGGTTTAAAAAACGGTTTCAAAAACAACCGATTAAATTCGCAAGCAAATGTTACACGTCTGGAACACTGTTATTTTAGCGGTTATGTTAAATACCGATTATCCCTACTGGAGATTGGTTCCAGGAAGATGGACGACAATCGATGTTCGGGTTCCAGACACAGAGGAACAAGTATTGGACATAATCGAATCAGGGCCTTCCAGGGGTACTCAAGCACAATAACTGACATTTTCCCAAGCATGAAATAAATACCGAGGAAGGGCTACATTCCTACCACGTTTGTACGATACACACAGCACAAGGAGATAGAAATGGAACAGGCGTTAATTAACTGAATACGAGTAGCTTGATAAGAGTGGATAATAAGGAGATTACACAGGCACTAGCTTGTTTGGAGTTAACCAATTCAATTGTTCAAATGTTCGGTGTTGTATGGTACATTTCAAAGACTAGTCTTTATTTATAAACACCAATATTTGAGGTTATGAGAACAGGTTGACATTTCGAAAGTACGTTCCACAGTCAACAAATCTTGTTGAATTTACCGTTTATCCTTGTCTATCTCATTGTCACTCTGTATAATTCCATGGTTACTGGAGTTTTAAATAATTACGAAGCAACAGGCTTTTTTTGTAAATTTCTCAGTTTTTAATAACAGTTAATTTCTGTTCCTATTTTTTCTGTACTCCTATAACAGCGCCAGACAACACCTTCAGAGGAATGACGCCAACTTTGAATCACCCTGCATCCATCATTTATTTCTTATTTGTCTTAATATCGCCTTCCTTGTTTTTGATTTTAATTATTTGTTTTTCGCAATTTCCATTTTTCTGCGCATCACTTTCATACTTTAATTACTTTCTATTATTCGTCTGACTGCTTTTTTACGGTAGGCTTTAGTGTTGTGTCTTGTGGCTTTCGATATTTGGTTGTTTATTTCTCTCATTTCTGCGTTGGGGCTCTCCTTCCTCATTTCTCTTATCTTTTGTATGAGGTCCTTAGTAGTTGAGCTGATTTTGTCTTCTTTCTGATTTTTCGGGCAGTGTAATTTTTGACTTTTTCCTAGGGCCTGATTAATTTCGTCTTTTATCGACTCCATTGTGTCGGTTGGTTTAGGGTTTTTGAGATGGTCAGTGATATATYTTTGGAATTTTTCTATATATGTTGGGCACATCCATGATTGTCATGTAGGTTTTTTGATCATTCTGTCTCTTTCGTTTGCCTTATCTATTTTGACTGTAGCTCGCACTATTCTATGATCGCTCCCAGTGTTTAGTACCGTAACTTTATTTTTATTCGAATGAATCTAAAAGTGCCATTTTTCGATCAGAAGCGATGATGAAAAAGAAGCACTTTTCTTTAGAGTTCATTTGTTTAACTTTTACGCATGGACTTTTACTCCCATGTGCGCAAAAGTAAATCTGTCAAATTAAACGTATCACTGTCATAAAATATTCTGAAGTATTTTCATTTAAAAGTAAACGACAGGCTTTTTTAATAAATTACGTAGGTTTATAGAGAACTATTGATCATAATTTAAAGTTTACTTACAATTTATAAATTATAACTTTGTTACAAGTTCAGTCTCAAAGTCGTTCAAATGGTCTATTTTTTGCACTCGCCGATGTTGCCACATGCCAAACACGAGTTTTTTAAAGATTGCAAATTTTATGCAAAATATGCTACTTATACAAACACCATGCCGTGAAAGCAGCACTTGAATTTTCAACACAACTCATTGTTTCACTTGTATATGCTTACAAAAGTACGCTTTTGAAAAATTACAAACGTCAAAACATGACAATTTTAAAAATGGCATTGACATTGGCACAAATTTAAAAAATGAAGCTGACGGCTCTTATTTTAGTATATTTTTATTTATTATAATTTATTATTCGTGTTATGTCCTTTATTCGAATAAAGAATATTGTTCGATACGAAGGCGAAAATCCTGACGACCTGACCTGACAAACTGAAAAAACCTGAAAAAACTACACTTTTCGAACTTGTATCGCAAACTACTATTACTATTCTTTTTTATCGGCTATTATAAAGTCTAATTTTGAAAGTAGTGTCGGCCGAAATAGGACATTCAGTAGCAAAGAGAACATGTCAGGAAAAGAAGCAGGACGTAAACAATAATTTAACTTTATATATGTTTATTACCATGTACTATTCAAAAAACATATATTTGATTCTAAAAACATTGTTTATTTGGCCCAAGTTAGCTTTGAGTTTGGCACCCTGCTACAGAGCATCTATGGCGTAAACTCAACGTATCAGTCAGGTGACGCATACCTGCTCCCGTGACTCTTAAAGCTCGTTCACACGGTGATATTTAATGCGATGACAGCAACCAGTGTCACGGTGTCGTATGTCACTTTGAACTTCAATTGTTCAGACAATTAAACTGTTGTGGACGACCTCAATGTCACCGTGTGAACGCGCTTTTAGGGAACTCGAGCAAGCCGTTCTTATCGAATAGGTGAATTTTCCTGAAAACTTCAAACTTTGATTAACATCATGCTCAGCCGAACCCACACGCTACTAAATTCAAACTCTTGCAATGTAATTTCACCTTATTTTTTTTATGTTTCTTCTATTGTTTTGAATTTTAAATATTCATTGGCGACTTTTCTATACATTTTTCTTAATACTTTTCAGTAAAACGCGGTTTTGCAAGATTTGAAATAAAAATTAATTACGCTAACGCCAGAAAAGAAGTTACAACTTACGCTAAGTTCCATCAGATAGAGAAGAATAATTTTTGCAATGTTTTTAATGCGACGGCCTGCTTTTACTTAGAACGCTGTTATACAAACTTTTAAATTAAAGTTAGCTACTCTAAATCCAAAAGAGCTAAAGCTGTACTTTAAAGATGGATCAGAGTGTGCTCTAACTAACGTGCGAATTGCAGTTTAATTTTTTTATTGACGATTTTTGTGCAAATTTTGAAATCTGATTTTTTGTTGAGCGCAGTTTTGTAAAACTCGGAAAAGAATTAATTGTGCGAAAACCAATGGAGCTTATAAGATGTGCTTAACAGCATTCAATAGAGTAAATCATGGTTTTAACACTGAGCAAGTTTGAATTATAAACTCGCATAATTTTTTAACTCAGACTTTTGAGTTTCACAAAGCACCTTTATGCAAACCTTTAACATAATTAACTGCTCTAAGCCCAAAAATGTCAAAAAAAATTGAATATAGAACAAAGTACGATCTATTTAATGAGCAAATTTCCCTTTCAGTTTTACATGGGGTTATGCTTTTGGGTTATGGAAAATTTTCACGATCCGTTTTTGATGCGTTTATTTTGTCCAGAAGTTTATTTAAGTTACAACCTAAACTCGGCAGCAAAGCTGGCCTCTCGTAAGAACATTAGCCGCGGAGAAAAAGTTCCAAGTTCCAGTTTAAACACAAGTGTAGGTACACAATTCTACACTATCATGTAGGATTTGCTCCCTGATTAAAATGTAAACCAAAAACCGTTTTAGGAATTATATAGAGGGCACTCCGGGTAACTTCCTCAACATTTTTTTTTCGATTACTGCGGATTGGGCTGTGGCGGATAATTGTAGGTATATGGACCTTGCGATGGAGGTCCCGGCGGTCCCTGTCCTGGATGACCAGTAGGTACACCTCCATGACCTCCAGGTGCGCCAGGGTGTCCGCCTGGACCGCCTCCATGACTTCCAGGGTGGCCACTAGGTCCGCCTGGTCCTCCGGGCCCTCCCGGATGTCCTCCAGGTCCTCCCGGATGTCCTCCGGGTCCTCCTGGATGTCCACCTGGTCCAACCGGATGTCCACTAGCTACTCCGGAGTGCCCTCCCGGATGCCCACCTGGATGTCCACTGGGTGGTCCTCCCGGATGCCCGCCAGGTCCTCCCGGATGTCCACCAGGTCCTCCCGGGTGTCCACTTGGATGCCCTCCAGGTCCTCCTGGATGTCCGCCAGGTCCTCCTGAATGTCCACCAGGTCCTCCCGGGTGCCCACCAGGTCCTCCCGGGTGCCCACCAGGTCCTCCTGGATGGCCTCCAGGTCCTCCTGGATGTCCACCAGGTCCTCCTGGATGTCCACCAGGTCCTCCTGGATGTCCACCAGGTCCTCCTGGATGTCCACCAGGTCCTCCTGGATGTCCCCCAGAACCAGGATGCCCTGCTGCGCCAGGGTGGCCTCCTGGTGGTCTAGGATACTGATAGCTCTGAGGCTGTTGCGCGTATTGAGGTTGCGACGGATAATTCGGCTGAGGGGGGTAGCTTGAACCGCTGGGCGGGCCGTACGGAGGATACTGGTTGGGCGGCGGGTTGTATCTGAGGAGTTTTTTTTATTTTAGAATCTCTGTGGCGCTAGGAGCAGTTCGGGCGATTCGTAACTCTATGGACTGTGGATTAAAATTTGAACCACCAACTTCAGTTAGCTATTGTGGTCCATAAAATAAAACCGTATACGAATTGAAATAAGCAAGTGCAGAGATGCAGGACCGGTTTCGAGCCTATTAGCTCTCATCAGCTGGGTTCAGCCTGAACTTAGCGACATGTGAACATATTTATTTTCAAACAAGGATTACACCTTCTTATTGCTACTTAATCTACGGGTACTTAAATACGAACATCAGTGGGTATATTGACATCAGATGGCACTAGATGATCTGCGTGGTAACTCTTCTGGGAATGGTGGGCTTCCTGTTGTGAGCGGCTACCAGCTATCAACAGCATCAACTTTCCGTTCTTGTGTTGGATGATCAGCCAGATTTTCTTTGGAACTGGAGCTCTAGGTGGGTGGCAAAGAGTTCCACTTTTCTTCCGGATCCAGTGGTAATGTTGTTTACTAGGATTGATCGTATTGGCCTCCTTGGTCCTGCTGAGAGATTCCTGGCCAGCTTCCAGAGCTCTCATCTCTCTATTCTCATCAACCTCTATTTAGTCCATGCAATCTTCCCAGAGTTGCGATCAAAGGATTTTCATACCTTTCTTGGTCACAGTCTGAAGGCAGGGTCTTGAGTTCGCATGGCTCTGTGTCTTTATTCGATTCTATCTAATTCTTTATTTTTCTCCGTATCATCATCATCATCATTTTAGCCCACTATAGCGTCCACTGTTGAACATAGGCATCCCGCAAACTGTGCCACTCATGCCTATTCTGCGCGACCTGCATCCAGTTCGTTCCGATTCTCCTTAAGTCGTCCGTCCATCTCGACGGGGTCGTCCTCTACTTGGATAGGCCTCACATCGTGGTCGATAATTTTTCTAGTCCATCGATCGTCTAGTTCTCGCAACGTGACCTGCCTAGTTCCATTTTAAAGAGGAGATTTTCTTTACTGCATCCGTAACTCCTGTCCTGCGCCGTATATCTCTGTTATGTATTCTTTCACTAAGTGATACTCCCAACATCGATTTTTCCTTTGCTACTTGTGTTGTTCTTATATTATTAATCGATTTCTTAGTTAGTGTTAGGGTTTCGGCTCCATACGTCATCACTGGCAGGACACATTGGTTAAAAAGTTTGCGCTTTAGACATATGGGGAGTTCAGACTTGAATGATTCTCTGAAGTTGCCAAATGCCGCCCATGTCAAACCTATTCTCCTAAAGATTTCAAAGGTCTGATTATCCCGGCCTATTCGGATTTCGTGGCCCAAGTATTTATATGATGTCACTTGTTGTACTTCATTATCACCTAACCTACTAGATTAGTCATAAATTGAGTTTTTGATATGTTGATTTTTAGCCCAACTTGTCCGGATGCCTGGTGGAGTTTTTCAAGAGATGCTCTGGCATTGTCAATACGGTCTGAGATTAAAAGGAGTGGTTGAGGTTTTCACCGTTGACATTAATACCCATATCATCCCAATTTATTCTTTTACACATGTATTGAAGTAATGTATTAAACCGTCTAGGGGAGATAGTGTCGCCCTGTCGAATTCCAAGATTTATATTAAATTTATCAGTATCGGCTTGAAGTCTAACATGAGCTATGGCAGTGTCATAGATGTTCTTTATGAGTGTTATATAGCAGTGGTCGATACGGCAATCTGCTAGGGCTAGGAGCATCTCATGTTGGTCCACAGTATCGAACGCTTTTTCATAGTCTACAAAACTGGTGTCAAGTTTGGGACGGTGAACAGAAACTCTATTTTCTTGAAAAAGCCTACGTTTCGACTATATATTTAGTCTTCCTCAGGGCTATTCAACATTAAAGGGCTTCATGTCTAGATAGTCTACAAAGATCAACACTGGTGGTTTGTTGTATTCGACACATTTTTCTATTAGAGATTTTATCACTTGAAGGTGATCGTTAGTACTATTGCCAAAACGAAAGCCAGCCTGTTCACAGGGTTGGTAGCTGTCAAGTTTGTTGGTGAGCCTCTTTGTAATAACTGCCATGAATAGCATATATACGTGGGACAGTAGGCTTATTGGTCGATAATTCCTCAGGTCTGTGACATTGCCTTTCTTGTGCATAATTATGATGACAGCATTTGTCCATTGAGAAGGTGTTGTACCCTTTAGTAGGCACGCACTCCTTCCTCGAGATACTAAATTTTTATGTCATCATCGCCAGGCGATTTGTTATTCTTGCATTTATTTTCTTCAATGGTTTTTTCTACCTGTGATGTGTTATACGTTCTAATGTTTTTTCTGATACCTTTAGAGATGTCTTTATTTAGCTGTCTTGATAGGTATGGTTTGTTGTATATTTGTCCAACACTTCCCTTCTATACTTCATCATATTTAATGTTTTTGTACTCAATTTTTCTTGCCTTTTCCTAATTTTACTACAGCTTTCTTTTCTGGCTTCTTGTATCGTATGGATAATTTGTTTATTCAGGTCTTCAACTTTAATGTGTTCTTCATTCATGCTTTCAACATGTTGTAGATTAGATTAGACGTAACCATTGTTTCATAGGCATCTACATCATAAATGTGGATCTGCTTAAGATTTCGTGTTCCAGATATCATCTTTCCCCCCAGTGGGTGTTCCCCAGGGGATCTGCCATTAGGCTATTAGGAGATTCGAAGTGGAGTTTTGGGATTGTTCGGGAAAAAGTCTCTTGGATTAGGGGATTTGTGTGGTCGAGGATTCTGCTTTTAAACTTCTTGTGTAGTTTCGAAATTAATTTTTGAATCGTTTCCATTTCGAGGTTTTTGTGGATTTGGGTGTTTCGAATATATTAAGGAGCACGTCAAATTCGACGTAGGAGTTTGTTTTGGAATGTTTGGATTTCGTGTGCCCCGTAACAAACTTGTGCTTTGATCACTTGTTTGTAGATTAGAGTTTTTTTTGTAGTGAGAGTGTTCTTTTGCGATTAAGAAGAGGGTGTAGGTAGGCGGCAGTCTGAATTCCTGTTTTAATACTTCAGCAAGCAGCAAGCTTCAGTAGGATGTTGTGGAAATTTAACTTGAGCTAGTTCGTTGGAACTTTTGCTCTTTTATGACTGCCCTTTTCGGGACTTTTAAGTTTTAAATTTAGAAGAGTTGGTCTGTGTGCTTATTAGAAGTGGTTTGTTGCCCTTGGCACCTTCCATTCCTGAATCGTTTCCGTTTCGAGGTTTTTGTGGATTTTTATGTTTCGAATGTACCAGGGAGCGCGTGAATTTCGACGTAGGAGTTTCTTTTGGAATGTTTGGAGCTTCTCGATGTTTGTTTTGCATGTTTGGCTGATGACAGGTGCCCCGTAACAAACTTGTGCTCTGATCACTTGTTTGTAAATTAGAGTTTTGTTTTGTAGTGAGAGTGTGCTTTTGCGATTAAGAAGAGGGTGTAGGTAGGCGGCAGTCTGAATTCCTGTTTTAATACTTTTGTTTATGTGTTGAGAGAAGTTTAGCTTAGTCTATTATTATGCCAAGGTATTTGACTCCCTTTGTGTATTCGATTTGTGTGTTCTTCAGTGTTAGTTTTGGAGTGTTTGTGATGACTGCTTTTTAGTTATTATCATGGTTTTAGTTTTTTCCGAGTTAATTTTGATTTTCCAGGTGTCGGCCCAAGCTTGGAAAGTGTTTAAGTGTCGTTGTAAAGGTGGGATAATGTAGTTGATGTTTTTATTGCAATAATCGAGGCTCGTGTCATCAGCGAAAAGAGCAACTTTGGAATGGGGGCTTTTTGGAGCATCAGCTGTGTATAGGTTGTAAAGATTTGGTGAAAGCGGGGCGCCCTGTGGGACTCCCGATTTTATAAGAAAAAACCGAAATGGTCCCGAGGGATCGTTTGATTTTGAGAGAGTAGATCGTTGAGACGTTCAAGGAAGAGTCGTTCGGTGAATTTTGAGAGTGTAGAGAGGAGGCTAATAGGTCTCCAGTTTTGGGGGAAGATTTGTTTTTACTGGGTTTGGAGATTAGTATGATAGAGGCGGTTTTCCAGGATGTAGGGAATTCTCTGAGGGAGAAAGAGGCGTTTATTAAAGTTAGGATTTGGTTTAGGAGACTTTCTGGAAGATGTTTTAGGATTTTGTTTGTAATTTGGTCTGGTCCCGGAGCTTTGCGGACTTTTAGGGAGGATATTTGCGTTTTCAATTCAGTCAGTGTTCAGGTCAGAATTTGGGGGCAGTCTGGGGGAATTTGCCTATGTTTGATTTCTCTGAGGTTGTTTTTAACTTCCACTTCGAAATCAGGATCGTTTGTCTGGGACATGTTGGAAGAAAACTGGTGTTCCAGGGAGTCGGCGAAGACTTCCGCTTTCTCCTTGTCCGTATAGACCAGTCCTCTCTCTCCATGTATTGGGGGAAAGTGTGTTTTTGTTTTTCCTATCAAACTCTTGGCGATTTTCCAGGCGACATTGTCGCCTGTTGGAATGTTTTCCAATAGCTTGGACCACTTTTCGTTTTTAATGTTTTTTATCTGAATTTGTATTTGTTTAGTGAGGTGGTTTGCTTCTTGGTTGAGACTAGCATCAGAGAATTGCTTGGCCCTGCGTTTTAGTTTGTTTCTGTTTTTAATAAGTTGTTTAAGTTCTGGCGGAAGGCCGAACGGGTTTTTATTTCTGTTTAGTTTTTGGCTTTCGCAAGGGCTGCAGAGATAGAATTTGACAGTTTCTATGAAACGGAGTTAAGCTCCTTTACGTTATTGGGAGAGTAGTCCTGACTTTGAATCTCGCTCAGGTAATATGAGGATAGAGGAGAAATGATGCTTGACTTTATGAACAGAGAACAAATGAACTGTCTGAACACGTTTTTCAATGAACCACATCAGAAAAAATGGACATGAAGTCCACGCATGAGCACACACGGCTGGGCTGCATAAATACGACTGGGAAAATGCATCAATCATGGGGCAGTTGAATCATTCTTAGTCGGAAAGCACGGGAGATCACTTTGCCC